ACCCTGAAACATGGGTCAATATTAATCATTTTTTGGAAGGAGACGTACCACACAATGAGAATCCAAAATACCAAATTACAGTCAATTCATTTCGAGTATTGGGTAGTACCGTTATATGGGGCTATACTGAAACTAGTGTTTTTGAGGTAGAAGACATCATATTATGCCCACACACCATTTTACTGTTTGGTGTTGTCAACAAATATATACCCTCAGCTCATGGTTTGCAGGGATCTAGGGAATTAAAAAATAGTGCCATGTTGGAGAATTTGTGGTAAAACTTATAATTCTTTAAAAGTAGTAGTAGTTTGTTTGGGAGTTACCACATATCATGAACCTATAAATCCGATAATTACACGTAATCTATATTTATGATAAATATTAAGGTCTGCCATGTTTAGACCACACCAAATTGACCAATAGAAGTAGTAGATAATATTACGATTTACAAAGCTTAAATCAAATCGGACATTTAATTTTTTGATATTGAATTAAGAAAAAATATATGTCACAAATATATAACACAGGAGCGGACCGATGATCCGACTCTGTATACATGTTTTGTTAACATATTAGGTTGTCTTTGCTTGGTTTTGGTTTCGGTTTTAATGTTTATCAAATCAGCTATAAAATTGGCTCCAAATTAAATTTACAAGTATATAAAATATTTACCATTTGTGAGGGAGGTACCAGAAGGAGAGGGCTGATGGCTCCCATCATCGGACTTTATGTAGACTTGGTAAAGATAAAAGGTTTTGCAAGATATTGAATTTATATACATTGAAAACATTAATGGGTCCATTATGGAAAGCAACCAAACTCCAGTTGCGAGTTTAACTGGCAACGCAATTGAAATAAAACTTAACATTATGAATACCAACTTTTCCCAGTTGCTGTCGATAATACTGTTTTGACATTTCTACAACTAGAAATATTGTAAACAAACAAAAAAAAAAATGAATAAAATATTTCAGAAAAACTAATTATATGTGATGATAAGTTCAGTGGAACTATTTTTTGATGATGAAAATTATGTTCAAGGTGTGTAATTTATTAGAAGGCATTTAAGAGAGAGTAGATGCTGACGTTTAGAGAAATGTTCAATCAACTGCTCATAATAGCTTCAAGGCGTATTTTCGACTACCAAAAGATGTGTTGTGTACATAGATGAAGCCTTAAACCCTGATTTCCGAAAAGACTGGCGGTCAACAGCAATTCCTCCACTCTTAACAATGTGTGCAGCTCTGATGCTTTTTGTGGAGGGAAGTTTTCAAAAGTCCCATAGGAATGACTTCAACCTTGGCATGGATTTGGTAAAATTTGGATTGTATCCAAATTAACGGAGGAGGAAAAAGGGAAGAATAAATTTTTTTATTCGAAAACAAAGTTCCAGGGTGTTGTCGGATGTATTGATGAACACACCTACATATCATGAACCTAAAAGAAGATGTTCGCCACTTTCTGCCATTCATTTGGAATGCGCGTTGGTGGGCCATAGTAGTTAAGGTCTTCCACACATCATCAATAGTGGATTTGGTTTGAGCAAAAGTCCGCACGCCGCGTGCTACATTTGGGTGAGCTTCCATCCGGGCAATAAGGACCTCAAATTTTTCTTTTGTAGTAATATTAGTCATTATGGGAAGCCTACAAAGTTCAGTTATTATAAACAGCAACCAGAAATAAATGGTTGCCGAAAAATTCTATTTGAAGCAATTGAAGTTGACAACAGTTGCCCTTCATAATTCAAATTTGGCAACTGGAAACGCCACTAAACTATGGTTACCATCCGTAATCGACCCATAAAACTAAGGAAAATCCAACTTTAATGGACTTGGATTTTTTAGAGAATAATGGGGAACGATGTTTGGTAGTCGCAAAGAGTACCATAAAGAATATCGGTTATGGCCCTAAATGTACATACACCGTTGGAAATCCCTTTCAATGCTCTTTCCAACGGTATATGAAATGTGGCATACTCCCACCCGTTTTCGTACAGTAGGTTCTGTCGTTAGGGACCATATATTGATATTTTCAATATATTTAGGGTCAAAACTGATACATCAGAAAGCCCATTCAATGCTCTTTCCAACGGTATATAGAAAAGTGATGCTAAAGTTTTCAAGACATTAGGTCATGAAATTTAAATGCTACTTAAAAAATTAGGCTTTGTTGTCTCTAAACACATTTTTTGGATCTGATAGTCTCATAAAAATATTTTAAAATATCCACGCCTTTGGCTCAGATAGTCTCATAAAAATATTTTAAAACATCCACGGCTTTGGCTCTGATAGTCTCAGAAAAATATTTCAAAACATCCACGCCTTTGGCTGTGAAAGTCTCAGAAAAATATGAATTTAGTCTCAGAAAATGTTTGTATCTCTTGAATAACTACTGAGATATAGAGCTCTAAAAAGCGCCGAAGCTGAAATCGAAAAAAAGTATGTATGAGAAATATAGAAATAAATTTGCACCGATTTGAATACAACTTGACACAAACCTTTCGGCGTTGTTCATATCATCCCTACAGAATTAAAATTTCACAAAATTTCGTTTCAATCGGATAATTACTGGTGCACTTTGGCGTCCAAAAAGTATTGTAGTTACGTCTTTTTGTTTCAGAACAAGTAAAAAGTGTCAGTCGGTGTTGCCGACAGATATATACCCTATATATGGCTTGCGGAGGTCTTCGGAATTATACACAGCTTTTATTACACATTTATACATTTTTATCACAGAGGTTTCGGATTTAATGTCGATTAAATCGGTTATTCAATTCGCTTCAAATAAAATTTACAAAATTATAAAATATTTACCCTTTGTGGGGTAGGTTCCAAAAGAAGAGGACCGACCGGTCCCACCATCCGACTTGATCTAGGCTTGGTAAAGACATTCTAATCGCCTAGTACAGGCTTTCGAACAATCAGTGTGCCAAAGTGGATCTGTGGAACTTGAGAAGTACAGTTTCGAGGTAGTCAAAAATGTTATATACCTTGGTACCGCCATAAATAAAACGAATGACATCAGTTTTGAAATTCAGAGAAGGATAGTGTTGGCCAATAGATGTTACTATGGTCTGAGCAAGCTACTGAAAAGCAAGGCCACATCCCGCCAGACCAAACTCACACTCTACAAAACGCTTTATACTACCCGTGCTGTTATATGGATCTAAAGCATGGGTACTTACGCAAGCAGGTGAGGCAGCTCTTGGAGTGTTGGAGAAAAAATTCTCCGAAAGATCTATGGGCCGATCTGCGTTGACGGTGAATATCGACGTCGAATGTACCATGAGTTGTTCCTGCTATTCTCGGACATCGACATTGTTAGACGTATTGAGCTGCAGCGACTACGTTGGCTAGGTGAAAATGGATGAAGATGCCCCAGCCCAGAAGGCATATAAAAGCGAACCAGCAGATGGTTAACGCAGAAGGGAAAAGCCACGAATAAGATGGAAAAGCCATGTGGAAGACAACATTGCGAATATGGTCTTTAATATTGGAAAAACTGCGCAAAAGACCGACGCGCCTTGAAAGCGTTTTTTAAGCTCGGCTTATGGAACGAAAGTTCTGTCACAAGCCAGCTATTTTTTTTTATTTGTGACCATTTTATTTGTGACCTTCTTCGGATATGACCTAAGCCTGGTAAAAAATAGATTATGCAAATTTTGGTTCAAATCGGACATTCCTTTGGCCTGATATTGGATTTATATATATTGAAAAGTTTTATACTTTGTGGGGGAGGTATCAAAAGCAGTGGATCATATTGGAACTTGATGTAGTCTTGGTAAAATTGGTTCAACTCGAATAGTCCGTTCGCATGATATTATAAAATTAGTTTTTAGCACAATTTTTACCATTTGGAGAACTAAGTTTTGTTAGAAATATTACGATGTGCAAAGTTTGGGTAAAATCGGATACTCCCTTCGAGAGTTATCGTGCGCACAGCCGACCAGATAGACCGTCGGACATTTTTGGTCCAAAGAAACATCGAGTCTATTGTAAATACTTTGATGAGGCATAAAACTAAGGGTATAAAAAATTATGTTAAAAAGACGTAACTGACAATAAACCATAAAAAAAAGATAATTTTTTGTTTTTTCAAAAAAGAAATACGACCATATAATTTATGGAATGCTCATACCACTAATCTCACACGGGAAGATGCACAAGCAACAGCAACTGGCCGAGTAAGATGAAAAAATACTCTTGGAAAAAATTCAAAGACAATTAATATAACAGTATTTGTTATTATAGGGGCTTACTTGGGGATGATAAAAACGTTTTTGGGAATTTTGGGTGAAAACATATCTTTATTTGGAGATGTCATTTAAAACTAGCAGGAGCTATATCTAAATCTGAACCGATTTCAACCAAACTTGTGTAAATACAGTTCATTACGATATGCAAAATGTGGTCTCTATTGAGCAAACCTTTGAAGCTTTGTGCACCATTTAAGTCAAACGGACGACGAGCGATACCTAAATCTGAAGCGAATCTGAAGATAATACATGCAATACATACACACATACAAGACTAAACAACTGAACTCTGTTCATAACTCAATTCGCACATGTTGCGTATACGTATTAGAATTATTCAATGCGAACACTTATACGACCTATAGTGCATCTAACTACAACCCAAGGGAAACAAATCGTAAGCTGATTACTGTGGTAGATATATCCTTAGAGCAAGATAATCATATTTTCGTAAGAAAAATAATTTCCTAACGAAATCTACCGTTTTTTTTAATTTCCCTTCAAAATTCTATTATTTTTCAGAAATAATGTTTCCAGTGGTTACAAACAAAATTCTCCCACAAAACTTGACATATCATTAAAAACATTCATTGCCACATGCAGACACACACACAGACGTATGACACAAACAATGAAATGGAATCATAAACAAGAAAATAAAAAAAGAAACTACATAAAGATACAAATATATATTTTTTGGTAACAAGCGAAACTGTAGTGGTGCTGGTGCACCATGACAACTTACCGCAATTTCCTGTGTCGCATGACGGATACAATAACCAGCATGTTGCCAAGTATGGCAGCGAGTATGATGAAACCGATAATAAAACATTTGACGATGACAAATGTTAAATGCGACTCGCTGAGGGCATCGATAGGAACTACTGAACTGCTGCCACCGCCACTACCGCTGCCGGTGATGTCGGTGCCAAGGCTGGCCACAAAAACTGGACTAACGACACCGCCGCCATCGCTCGGACCACCGATATTGCCAAAATTACTTATACTAAATGGGTCGTCCATGTGGCCAATTTCCAGGGCACTGCCAGAGCCGCCACCGATGGCGGCAGCAGCCGGAACAACACCTCTGCTATCCAACAGACCATTGGCCACAAAATTTAAATATTTCGAATTGGTATCCTCGGCAATGTGTATGAGATTGTGGTGGGGCGACGAAGACTGATGTGGCGGCAGATGTTTGTGATGCTGTTGCTGCTGCTGATGGTGGTAACTCCCGCTCCCACTATGGCGTCGAAGGATGCTGGCGCTACTGCCACCACTACTGAAGACGACATTACTGCCACTGGAATTGAGGCCAGTCTGCATGGCGGCGGAATCGGGTGAGGAGGAACTTGTTATATTTGCCATGTTTATTAAGGATGTTAACAAAGTGTTGCTGGCTGTTGCCAGGGTTGTTGTCATCAACGACGATGGAGGTGGTGTTGTGGGTGTCATCATTTCGGTGGTCGAACAAAAACTCAACAACACCCTCAGTCTCTTAGATGTGGGGGGTAGGGTTGGATTTTGGTTGTTGTTGTTTTTTTTTTTTTTGCGGGGAAACTCAGTGGTTTTCCAACACAAATTGAGTTATTCCAAACGATTTGTCGATTTGAGTTAAAAAAAACTGTTTAATCATTCACAAACAAAATATTTTGTGACTTGTTTTCCAACCAAGGGAGCTTGTTTGTATCTCCCCTCTGGTTTTATGGGATTTTTTGGAAGTCTCTTTTTCTCTTATCCTGCAGATTTATTTTTTTCTCACAAACTAAACACCAGAATTCATTAAAAATACGCTATCAAGGCTAATGTCCTAATTGATACTGCTGTTTAGCAAGCTGCTATGGTGGTTGTTGTGGTGTTTTGCGAATTATTCGAAGGCGAGCTTATTTCGGGTGCCAGCGGGAGCCAAAATTGGCGCTTGTTCTTGTACTTCTTATCAATGCTGATTCTGTTATTGGCAGCTGTGGCGGTGTTTATGCTATTATCCACGCTATCACTACCCTCGATGCTGCTCATAAGGGATTTGTGGTGGCCACCACCAATATGCCACCTGGGCATTAGCTGTTGCTCGAAAACGTCTAATGGGAGCTTCGTCTGCGGTATTGACGTTTGAGATTTTAAACACTTAATGATACAAGGACGACGACAACAGAAACCACATTTTAAATGATAATCAGCAGAACAGTAATTCGAAATTTGGCATCGATTGTGGTGATAATGTTTTGCCTGATGATTTTTTAAATCACTGATGTGGTTGTTGTTATCCTTGTTATTTACACCGTGGTGTCGTTGTTTTGTACCATTAGATTTGAGCTGTTTGGGAAAACGGCGTCGACAACATGGCAAGTGGATTTCCATTGATTGCCACATGGCTGAGTGAATGACATGAAAATAGGAAAAAAGATGAAGAATTGGAATTAATTTGTGTGTTTGGTGAGAACATGAATACCTTATAATAAAATTAATTAAGTTTAACAATTCGATAAGGAAATTATATTTTTGTTAGATTTAATTTAAAAATATACGATTGTTTAAGGGGACCCCACCCATTCTCGGTTTCAAAAAAATTAATTTTTTATTTTGATCCGCCATTAATTTTCCGTTAATTTTAGAACGAAGTCAATAATCCTAGTTCATACGAGAGCCAGACATGCACTCTTTCTAACGCCGTTGGAATTTTCGGATTCCGATGTTCCAGTGAGGTGTTATCATGCCCGCCATCAAAAATAAGGACATTTCTTTGATAACAAAAAACAACAACAAACATTTTTTGTAAATTGTTTTTCTTCCTTTTTAAACCTGGAAATATATGTGCAAAGTTAAAAACCTTAACATGCATTGGTATTTATTTACCAGCTCATTTAAAATCTTAAAAATAAAAAATAGAGTTAAAATTATAATAAAATCGAATAATTAAAAATATCAGTCCATTTGTGTACCCGATCCTCCTAAATATAAAAAGAGGAAACCAGTCTGGAATATATTCCTCAATATGCACTTTGCAGAAATAAAAAAGTTAGAGGAACATTTTGTAAAAAAGTGAAAAAGCGTTGAGTGCGACCGGGCCGAATTTTGGATACCCTCCAAAATAGGAATACTGACAGTTACTTGAAATGTAAATATAGGGAACATACCAAAAAGTGGACTTTTATCGACAATTGTACCAATCGATTATTGTAAACCATAATGTACACTAATACATATTTCAGCAATTTTAATGGGGATTTTCAAAAAATCCCCAAACCCAAAAACTTGGACCGATATTGATAACGCATAGTAGGGTGGGTGGTGGTGGTAGAGGGCAATGTTACTTGAGGCTATACCTAAAGCGGGATTAATATTGATTACATTGTGTAGAAATTAGCGAATATTTGATGTTTTCATTACATGAGAGGATTTGCATAATTAAAGACCGATATAGCTTAATTTCAAACCTTATATTAAAATATAGTTTTATATCTCAATATTTTTCTTCACCAAATGACAGCGAATTCGGTTAACAACGCGCTCAAAATACCGACATTTTGGGGTACCTTTATGTGAGGGCTACCGAAAAAAGTGGACCTATATTTATAATTCTTAGTGGAAGAACCCAATGCTACAAATAACAGGAAATTGGGTTGGGAAACGCTCTCAAAAACCCCAAAATGGGGGTACCAATAGGGGTTACCCGACAAAATGTATAGGTTCATTTATTCATTTATAAATAACAACACATAATTCGGTCGAAAATGCTCTCAGAATCCCTAAAATACTGAAACCGTTTTGTGGGGCTACAAGAAAAAGTGGTGCTATATTTATAGTTTGTAATTGGTAGATTTGTTACCCAATAAGAACCCAAACCACCAAATTCCAGTAAAAACAAAATTAATTTGTTTGAAACTGAAAATCGAAAAATTTTCCAAAGAATATTCTTTTGAGATCTAATAACAGAAAATAGTCGCTTTGGCAAACCTGGAAAATAACGTTCATTATCAAAACAGTAATTCTATTTAATTCGCCAGATCCCTTTTCCCGTACAAAATGTGTGATGTTCGGTTTATAATTTTGGTATTTAACAGGTTAAGGTCAGAGATGGCCTGTCAGAAACAGTGACGTAAATGACATACATTTCCGACGTATAATACATACGTCGGAAACCTACCCAAATCCATTCGGGTTTTGACAAAATAGCTATTTCCATTAAGGGAACACCCCATTCTCGATTTTTTATTTTTAAGATTTTAAATGGGCTGGTAAATGAATACCAATGCTTGTTAAGGTTTGTAACTTTGCTCATATATATTTGAAGATTTAAAAAGGAAGAAAAATAATTTACAAAAAATTATTGTTGTTCAGGGTTTAAAATGCTAACGCCAAAATAGCAAAAACACAGAAAATTGGCGCACTGCTAACTAAATTCATCCTCAAACTATGCAGCACAGCCAAGCACAACTGCAACAAATAGCAATACATTACGAATAATTTTAGCAAGCAAAACTAAAGCTTCTTGATCTTGTCAGCAGCTACAAAATAGCAATGAACAACTACAACATAATTGTCAACGCGACTAACAACCAAAGCTTACAATGAAGACTAAGCACCTTGACTGTGGCTGCTTAGCAAGATTTTTAGCAAACAAAACCCGAGCATTTTTCGAGTTCAGTGTTGCCCATTGAAATTTTATAAATTAAATGAGATAATTAAAAATGGCGATTATGATAATTTCATTTTTTCGAACAAAGACAATTAGTAATACTTGCTAAAGAGTTTAATTTAATATATTATTTAGTTTTTAGTACTATTATTGACAGTTTGCGTTGGGGTCATATTTTGACCCCCACTTTTTTATTGATAAAATTTAAATATGTTAATTTAAAAAAGTTTTTTTAAGGCTTGTGATTTTTGCAATATGTCTTTGTTGCAGTAATTGTTTGTCGGTGAGACGGACATACTGGTTTTTTGCAAGTTATGCACTCAGTGAACGTTTTTCGTTCCTTCCTCGATGGACAAAATTTACACCTTTTCCGGTTACTAAGGCGTTGTCGTTCTGGAGAAGGCGAACTCGTAGATGGTGATTCTTCTCGAATTCTTTGTACTATAGTTGCAGAGGCTTCTGCGCGGGGAAGTCGACAACGTCTTTTGATGTGGTCATGAGCTAAAGCTTCACCAAGTTGCTCTAAAAATAGGCGCCTTTTGTGCAATTTATTTCTTTGCCATTCAGGATTTATTTCGGTCCACATTATAAATGCGTTGAGAGCAGAAATATCTACTAAATTAGAGAACAGAGCAACTGGCCACCGATTGGTTTTTCTTTTGCATGAGTATGTACGAACCATTTGGTCCAAAGTGTCGACTCCTCCTTTTGTCGAGTTGTAATATTCAATTATTTCCGGTATTTTTTTTTTTGGATGATTTTCCAAAATTTTGCTGTTATGGTGAAGAGTGCTAAGCAAATAAACCATTTTGTATTTTTTAGGTATATACAAAACAATCGTTTCTTTTTCATGGAAAAAAAATTTACTTGAATGTACTGGAAGCTTACGCAATTGTTGTGTTGTAGCATGATCCGGTAAAAAGCGTTTATTTTTTCTGACTGTGCCAACAATAGTAATTTTATGCTTTAGCAGTTCTATTGCAAGTTTATGACTTGTAAAAAAATTGTCGGTTGTCACATTGCGTCCACGATATTGGGTAACCAAGTCTAGAACAACGCGTTCTCCTTGATTCCTTTCAGCATTGTCTCCCAATTTGCCCAAGTAAATTTGGAATTGTAAGCAAAATGCAGTATCAGAATCGGCTGCTATCCAGGCTTTCATGCCATATTTCCCGGGCTTACTTGGAATATATACATTGAATGGGCATCTACCTCTGAAAGGAATAAGCTGTTCATCAACCGTTATATTAGCGTTTGGAACGTAAAGCAGTTGCAAG